CATTTTCAGCCTTGCTCTGTCCATAAAACCAATATCTCCTGCCTATTTTGCATACATCTCCAGAATCAGAATGCTAGACCACATACTAATTTTATGCTTAGTTACTTGAGAAACGCTGTTCTGTCTTCCAGGGCTACTGATCTGTTTTATACCCCTTCCCATGACAGACAGGAATTTCTCAGTATTCATGCCAATACTTCGTATTTTCTGTTTTCATTTGTGTTTAAATAGTGACCATCCTACAGGATGTGAAAGAGAACATTTAATGACTAGTTCTGTACCAGGATGGGACCAGCAAGAGGTGGGATCCAGTGGGGGTGCTGTAGAGGAGAGTAGATGACTGTCATGCTCAGTCACACAGGTGGCCTGCTGTTCAAGCTTCTGGCCTCAGGGTGAGTAAGGCCTGAGGCCCAGTATATTTCACATACCAAGTTAAACACTGCCTCTTCTGGGAGGAGACACCAACTTTTCTTTCTGAAAAGTCATGTCAATTTGCCAAGACAATTATTATGGCTGCTTCCTGGAGAAGCTATGGTAGACCAGATTAATACACAGGATAATGCCTGGTCCAACACAATTAGAGGAATATTTAAATCATTTCCACCGTGGTATTCTGCTGTCTCTTTAATATCTTTACAAAATGGTCTCTGAATTCCTTGGCACTCCTCATATTGACAAGTGGGGTCTCTATGGCATCACCTCTTATCTGCGATCAGTAGCTAACAGAATTAAGCAGAAGCACACTGGTGCCAGTGTCTGGGCCGAGACCTTACACGGGTAGCCGTTTCCACTTCCTCTCTATTGGGACATTTCTTCTTGGAATCTAGCCACCAAACTGTGAGGTTGCTAAAATTCTATCCCAGGGGAGATAGATATAAGTCCCATATACCCCTCTCCCTAAGGTCCCAAGAACAAACGGAGGTAGATTCCACCACAGTTACTGCAGGGCATCCATACAGGCAAGCCTCCACTGAGGAGCCCAGGTGTTAACAATAGCTTTTGGCCCTCAGCTTTCCTACTCTCCCATCTGACCATACAAGGTCTTGATATACTCTTGTGATAAAGACACCGTCTTCTGTAGGGTCTCCCACTATCATTTCAATTACTTGGGCATCATGGCTTCTCTGCACAAACACTAGAGCCTTCCACAGATTTTCCTTCTACCCCCAGCCCTGGGCTGAGGCTTTGGAGTTTTGCAGTGCCCGCTTGATCCAAGGACTAACTTCCTCTAAAATGAGGAGGACTCACAAGCTAAGCAAAGTTGACAGAGGACAAAGGAGGCACAACCCTGGCTTCCCCCTGGAGATCAACAAGCCCGTTCTCACGGGCTGGCCGGTGTCTTGAGTTTCTTCCGAAGGCCCAGCCCAACTAAGGTCTGTTACTCTACTCCCTCCCCTTCTCTCCCCTTCCTAGACCCCCCCCCCAGCTTTATCTCCGAAAGGAAATAGTTAAAGATTCCTGCCCTTCAGGGCCTGGCGGGGGCAGCAGAATTGCAGCTTGGTGGCTGTTCCCTGGAGGGGAGGAGGGATAGGACGCTCCTGCAGTTCGGTTCCAGAGTGGAGGGGAAAGTCTGGAAGCCTGGGATCCTGGGGAGGACCGACCGCGGGAGGCGTGTTCCTCTGGAGTTTGCTTTTGCTTGGGAGACTCGCGCACACACCCATTCCTCTAGCCTGGCGACTGTGAGAGGGAGTTGAGAAGCCTCTCTGATCCACCGGATCGTCGCCGGAGGTTGCAGGCTGGGCGAGATCTCCCCCAAAAGAGCCCGGGCCCTGCCGGGGAAGTTTCCTCAAGTCGAGGCAGTGCTGCAGCCCCAGCCACCGGCCACCCTGCGCGCCTCCCTCTTTCTCCCACTCCGGCTCTGTCTGGCTCAGGCGCGGACCTGGCGGTGTCTCTGTCCAAAGATCTCCAAGGTCGGTACAAGTCTTTCCTAATGGGAACCAGGACTGAGAGGAGGGACAGGGTGGCAGCCTGGGACAATCGTCTGGGAGGAGGTGGGGTGTTTCACAGTGCCCCGAGAAATGCCACCGCGGTTGGGGATGGCACCTACCTGCCCTGACACCTAATGTGGATCGCCTTCCTGGGAGCCTAGTGCGGGTAGGGTGGGGTGGAGTGGGGGAGTGTGGAGCAGAGCTTTGACCAAAGATCAAAAGCATTTTACATCCTCAGGCAAACTCTGATTTTTAGGAAAAAGAAGTTGGCCCAGGAGCGTCTCTTTCTCCACAGGCCTGCAAGAGCTTTCAGTAGCATCATGCCCAAGGCTTGCTCCAAGGCCCACTGATGAAGTTGACCATGTAGTCTGTTCGCATCGCGCACCCTGGGTGTGTGTAGCCAAGGACACTTACTGTGAAGATCCATGTCTGTGAACCCCTGCTCACACACACCATGACTGCAGCAGCTAGTGTTGGAAATCTGTTGTGGGAGGTCTGGGCTGTTTGCTCCGCGCTGTCCTTTAAAGGGCACTTGTTGCCTTTCACGTGCAGAACACTAGCAGTTTGTAGATAAGCCACATCTGTTTACATGGCCCTAATGGCCTCACCCTGCAGACAAGGGGTGAAGGCATATTAGAGGCAGACAGTGCCACCAAGGAGTGTCAGAGAGCAAAAGCACCGAGAATCTGAACATAAGCTCTTAAACTACCCTTGTAGTTGTTTATGGATACCCACCCCCACCAACCCATCTGTTTTTAAAGTGTTGACCAACTGAGAAATACCTTGGCTACCATGTCATGCAAATTACCTGCCCTAAACAGTGCGGTTTGGGTGCCATGAGAATTTCCAAATTGCTAATGGCAAGTGAACTTTTGTCCTGAGAGTCTCAGATGTTAAATAGGTGAAGTGCTGAGGGTTTATTAAAGCACTCCAAAAATCTTAGACCCACAAAAGGAGAACTGCTGAATCCCTAGACATGTCCTTCCTCCTTGAGTGTAGATTGCTTCTCCAGAGTGGTGGCTGAGGACAACAGATGCCTAGCAAAGCTTGACTTGAACACACCCAAATGAGCTCCAGACCCATCCTGGGAAAAGCATGTAAAGAAGGAGGTTTCTTTCATTTGGTTTTGTGTTTTTTCATTCTGTGACAATATGGTATCCACATGTTTTTGACAGATGTCCCTTAGATGTGGAGAGCTGACAGAGGTGTCAGGAAAAATGAGCTCTCTGGTGGTGTCTTTGTTGGGAGGAAGCAAGGGAGGGAGGAAGGCAGTTAATGGTAGCTGGCTGACACCATGATGGGAAGCCACGTCTTTGACCTTCTCAGTGCCTATAGCTGATAGAGAAAGCAGCAAGCTCCCATGAGCACTAGGGAGAGTCCAGTGTCAGTGAAAACCAAGTGGTTCATGAAGTCACCTCTCGGATGGTCCTAGCAGATCATGAAGCTATTCTGTTTACAGGAAAGACCTCTGCCTCTCATTTAAGGAAACTATTACTGAATACTCCATCCCTGTTGGAAAACTAGAACTTTAGTCACAAAGCAGTCAAGAAGTTAAAGAATTGTGCCTCCCTCGTTATTCAAAGAAGCAGATTTTAACAAGCTCTGCTCTTGGAATTCTGATCTCCATCTGGGAAAGGAAATGATATTTTGTAGGCCTACTAATAATTCAGCCAGATGCTGAGAGGAAATCTGTAAACTACTTATAATTAAGGGTAAGCAGAAGTGACAGAGGTGACAGATAGATGGCAGGTCCCTGGCTTTGCAGCAAGTGAAACCCTACAACCCAGCTATGAGATGAGATGGCTGTCCTGCCACTCTTAGGCTTTGAAGCCAGTCACTTCACCTCAAGACTCAATTTCTCTCATGTGAAGTGTGGACATTGCTTCTGCCACTACTGCTGTGGTAAAGCTCAAGTCAAGAAACAGATGGTATCTGTCAGGTGTGGTGTGTAAAATACTGATGTTGTTTTGGGGAGCAGAAGTACACAGTACTCTGCTGGTATTTACTTCCTATCCGAGTCAACATGTCTTATTTTGTCCACACACTGACTAAGCCTAAACGTAGTGATGACTACTGTCAAAATTCCTAAAAGTGGTCAGTAACAGCCTTGAGCAGACTCCAGAAAAAGAATGTAAGTCTCAAAACTTGGGATTAGCTGTGTGTGCCCTAGATACACACCACTGCCCATAAATGAAGTCACGGTCTTCATTTACAGATGAATAAAAGAAAGGTATAAAACACTGAAGGAGAAGGAGCTATTTGCCTTTGATTGTTAGCCTCTTACTGACCTTCCTTGGCTTTCTAGTGTCTTGGTGTCTTTTCTCTAAGAGATAGAAAAGAAACCTAGATTACTGGGCAGGAGGGACCATACACTCTTTGCAAGTGGCAAAACAAATGGATGCCTATAGTCTTTTGATCATACCTGACCACCCCTCCCAGTCTGCTGCTCTGTCTAAACTCTGGAGACATCTTCAGTATGTTCTTGGCACAAATAAAGCATGAAAATGAGAGACAGGATGACAATAATTAAAGCTCAGGTTTGGAGTCAGATGGAGCTACATCAGAGTTGTGGGTATGCAACCATCTGTGACCTCATGAGCAACTGGGATTTCCTTTTAGCTTCTCTGTCCTCCTGATAGACCTGTGTGTGACTTCATGGAATCATCACATGGGCTAAACAGCAGCAGCACATGACATATTAGGCACAGTGCCTGGAAGATTTGGGTTCTCATTAGCCTGAATTAAGAGAGAAACTGCTATCTCTAAGGAAAACTGAAACATCTTTATTACTATTGTGTTCTAGACACACACAGAGCTATAGCTAGAGCCTGGGGGGGTGAAGGATGGAGGGAGGAGGGGATGGGGGTCATTGCCTGCTGTAATAAATCTTTGGCCTTTTGGTCTGCCATGGGTAGCCTGACACAGTTACACCTAATTACCAAATATGGTTTATATTTTCATTAAATTAGTGAACACTCGTTTCCTATGATCTTTGGGGACAGCTAGATTTTGTAGCAAATAACAATAATAACAATAACAATACTTTTCCTATTTTTTTCTTTCAGGTGAAAGAAAGAAGAGTATAAAAGCGACATAAGACATTTCTTCCAATTTACATTAAGATGGATACTTTTTGCCTCATGGCATCCTTTTGGCTGGCCCTGGTAGGAGGAGTAATCAGTGACAATCCTGAGAGATACAGCACAAACCTAAGCAGCCATGTGGAGGACTTCACCTCTTATCTGGGGACAGAATTCAACTCTCCGAGTACCACTCATCAACCTACCAATTTGGTCCTGCCCAGCAACGGCTCAATGCATAGCTATTGTCCACAGCAGACTAAAATCACATCTGCTTTCAAATACATCACCACTGTGATATCCTGCACAATCTTCATCGTGGGAATGGTGGGGAACGCAACTCTGCTTAGGATCATTTACCAGAACAAGTGTATGAGGAATGGCCCCAATGCGCTCATAGCAAGCCTGGCCCTGGGAGACCTTATCTACGTGGTTATTGATCTCCCCATCAATGTGTTTAAGGTAGGAAATTCCTGTGCACTTTGTTGACCTCTGACCCCTTGCTCTGTTCTGACTGGGAGGCTTAGTTCTGCTATCTTATAGCTCATTGACGTTTTAAGATTTTTATTGTTATATATTAGACTGTTTTCTAACTTAGTTGTTGGTGAAACAGTATTTCAAGGGTGACCCTTAAGATGTTTCTATTGCATGAAGTGGATTCCCAGGCCAATGCTCCATTTGTTGGCTCCACCGACCATCTTGTAGCAATCGATGACTGGAAGTTTCTTTTGAGTTTTTAAGGTGAGATGTACCAAGCTCCCAACAAACGCAAGATTGAATATTTATTTTCAGTTATCTTTCAATGAGATGCTGCTCAGAATACATACCCACAGCAGAGAGAGCTTCAAGTGGAAAGCTTCTATTTTAGTCTGGGTGCCCGGGCAGATGACTGAGGCTAAAGGGCTTGCTGGCTTCCCTCTCTGTCTGGTGACTTGGAGATAACGAAATCTGCCGGTAGGAGGCCAGGATTAAATTACTAACTAAAACCATTTAAAATAGGCCTGGTTACACCTTCCCACATTTAGCTGTAACATGTGTCCATCCCTGAGCTAGGCAACAGTGGTCCAAAGACAATGAAGAAAAGTTGATGCTTCCACGGGGGAGTGATGAGTGTCTAAACATAGCTGGGGCTGACTTGCCTTAGAGACTATTTGAGGAAAATAAACTAAAACCAAAAGAAGCAAAATATTCCGAATTTGCTATAATCATTGTGAGGGAAAATTGCTGAAAAAAATTTAAGTACAGTAAAAGTCAAATGAAATTTGCATACGTGTTCCACATTTTAAGAAGCACCTTCACCTGAAACCTAAGGAAATTGCTTTCCCCAGACTTTCTTTCTCCCCCCCCCCCCTTCCCTTTACCCTCTCCCTCCTCCTCTTCTCTCTTCCCCTTCTCCTGCCCACATCTTCTAGTGTGAAGTCAAGCTCCTCACCTTTCTTCCCCCCATCCTCTTCTCCCTTCTCTCCTCCTCCTCTTATTTCTTTTCCTCCCCCTCTTCCTTTTCCTCCTTTTCTGTCACAGAAATAAATTATTCTAGGTCAGTGACTCTCAAGAGGTTGTGACCCTTTAGGGGTTGCATATCAGATAGTTGCATTACAGTTCACTACAGTAACAAAATTACAATTATGAAGTAGCAACGAAATAATCTTATGGTTGGGGAATCGCCACAACACAAGGAACTGTATTAAAGGATCACACATTAGGAAGGTTGAGAACCACTGTTCTAAGTAATACAGTTCTAAAATATTACTTTAAACTGTTTTTGCCAATTAAATTATGAGTATGGGGCAGCCTGGAACAGCCTGCCGTTTGTAGTAGATGTGTCTAAATCACAGTGAATTTTCATGGAGACACCTCAAGCACCGGTGTTCTAGCACTAAGGTGGATTGTTTTGTTTTGTTTTTGAGACAAGCTTTCTCTGCTTAGCCCGAGCCACCCTGAGCTCCTTATGCAGACTAGGCTGGTCTTGAACTCACAGAGATCCTCCTGTCTCTGCTTAGATTAAAAGCATGTGCCAGCCCACCCAGCTGATAATTTTTGAATATTAACTATCTTTCAAACTCGTACCATGCACTTTATGGAAAGTAGAGAAATTAGACAATGAATAATCAAAAAATTACATACTATTTCTTTCCTCAGAATAAGTATGAATGCATGTGATTTCACTTTGAACATAAAAACAGAATTTTGGAACTAAATTGTTATGCAAAGTTGAAAATGAATAATTAATTTAAAATGTTTAGGATATGCTTCAAATTTACTTTTTTCTCTTAAAATTTTCCACTTATGAGTTGTCATGAGTACTTAATACTTCACTTTCTTGTGATAGCCTTCTTCAGTGATGGGTTTTAAGAGACTGTCATGGGTTTTGGTGTCAGTTGGTTATTGGTGAATATTATTATTAACTCTTGATTGCTTACACATAGACACTGGTTAATGAGTTCATCTTTATTCAGGAGAATGATGAACTCTCTCAAACTAACTCCCTGCTCCTGCTTTGTCTGAAGCATGCTCTATAGATGCAAAGCTGTTTCTTGGCAAACCAATAGATGCAGGGGCTGGGGCCAAAGGAATGGTTATCTTTGAGTTGCTCCTGCCAATCAACACAGTGAATTTCATTTCTACTAGATAGTGAATCATGTTGCTGAGAGAGTTCTGACTATTGTAGAAATCCAAAAACAAATTATGTTGTGTTCCTGTAGCGATAGATTGACACATTGTTGTCCAGCTCCATTGTTCTTCGCTTTGGGGACTCATGATCAATGCACCGTTATAATTTGAAGTGATATAGACAGTTTGGTCATGGTGCTTTCACATCACATGACTGTGGTCATTTAATTCCTGTGTTTTAAATGTAACATGAGTCAGTGGGCCAGTAGTAGTTTTAGAAATTAAACCTTTTAAAAAGATTTGAATATTAAAGTTTTAAATAATTATCTCAGTCCTCTTGCTAGGAAAGAAAGCAGCACTGTCATTAGCTTAAGAGGCCAAGACAGTGAAGTTATCGCCACACTATTCTGTCATCTCTTCTCCCGTCAGAAAAGCACAACCTCTCCTGTTCCTCTGAATTCTACCCAGACTAGTCAGGAGATGTCCTTCCAGGTAGTGTGAGGTCCTAGTCTCCATCACTGCCTCCTGCCAGCACACCCCAAGGCAACTTGGATCCTTCTAGCCACATTTGGTTCACTATGTCAGCACCTGTCCATCTCACTTAATCACTGTATTAGATATCCAAGAAAATAACATGCAGATTTCTCTAAAATGATGGACACGTACTTTTCATCTTCCTCATTACTGGAAGAATTATGTTGAAAGTTGAATGACCTTTTAAGCTCTCTAAATAGATGAGTTTCAGGGCTGGGGATATGGCTCAGTGAACAAAGTATGAGGACTTATGTTCAAATCCCTAGCACCTGAGTGAAGAGTCAGTCATGGCAGCACACCTGTAACCTCAGCTCTGTGAGTTGGAGACTGGTAGATCCTGCCTGCTTGATGGGCTCCTGGTCAAGCCAAAATGGAAGTGAAGTTTGGTAAGAGATCCTATCTCAAAAAAAGGTTAGTTTTCAATTGAAGAAGATAATCTACCAACCTTTGACCTCCACATGTATCTGCATGGGAAAACTCACCTGCACACACACACATACACACACACACACACACACACACACACACACACACACACACCACACATCTCACACACACACCACATATCATACACACACATACACACACACCACACATACACATGCATACAGATACACATGCATACAGATACACATGCATACACACACACCACACTCACACACTCACACACACACACCACATCACACACATACCACATATCATACACACACATACACACACACCACACATACACATGCATACACATACACATGCATACACACACACACACACACACACACACACACACGAGTTTTCTAGTCACTCCTATTATTCTGTTTAGCAGTCACATCAGGGCTTTTTTTTTTTAACTCACCAGCTATTTTTCACTAAATAAACATATTTTTTTAAGTTGTAGGAATCTTTTAAAATACTGTTACTTAAAAATGGCTTGTGTTCTTAGAATTTCAGTTTCACTACACATTGAAAGTAGGGGGTCACACATACATGGGGTAATCAAGGCAAGTTTTCATCCAGGAATCACATGCTTCAAAATCATATACCCCAAAGTCTGTTGCACCTCAGACTCTCTGCACAGATGAGAAAGGGAACATTGATAGCTGGCTTCCAGGAAGGGGAGCACCTGGTGTAAATGCTTCTTTGATCATCATCCCTGTGTGACTTTCAATCCAGCCTTCCCCATGTGATGGATCAGAAACAGTGTCTTTTGCAGAAAGCTGATATACCTGGGATCGCAGTCTTCTCCAGGGCACCAACACCTAATGGGAGCTAATGACTGAAAGGAGACTGTCTAGTTCTCAGGCTGGAGAGATAGCCCGGTGGTTATTGCAGAGGACCTGGGTTTTGTTTCTCAGCACTCACACAGCAGCAGTTCACAAGTGCCTGTATCTCCAGTTCTGGGAACCCAGCAACCCCTTTTGATCTCTGTGGGTTCCTGCATGCACATGGTGCACATAAATTCACACAGGCACACACACATACACATAAAAATAATAAATAAATTTTTTCAAAAGAGACTTTGCTATTCTCAAAAAAAAAAAAAAAAAAAAAAAAAACAAAACACTGCCATGATTGACACTTAAGTACTGTTTTGTTTGATCTCCCTTGGCACAGAAGGATAGATGGGTCAGAAATAGATTAATTACCTTAGCTGAGTCTTAGTCAAATGGGGGATCATAGGTTTTCTGTGAAAAGTTCATCTGTAAAATGGGTCCTCTATTTAAAATTTTATCTAAACACGTGATCTGAAACTGTTCTGCCTCAATCTCTGCCAACAGTGCTGGTTACATATTCAACCTAAGGTGTCTTGTGTCAGAGTGCAAATACATATGATCGGGCAGTATGCAGACTGTACCTTAGGGCTAGCTAAATGAACTGCAGCTGAGTCAAAAGTAGCAATGTCACGAGAAGAATGAGAGGCTACCATAGTCAGTGTTCTGTCTGTTAACATTGTTCTCATTTAGGGAAGGGATTGTACAAGAGTGTCCCATAGAGCAGTTTATGGAAAGCAAGTGTCACATAGCTGAGCTGTTTCCCATCTGTCACTAGCCATGTAGCTTAGTGCCTTTTCATGGTCTCTTGGCATATATATCAGTGAGCTTGACTCCAAATAGTTGCTATCAAGGCATTTAAAGATCATTAATAAAAAACTGGGTAACATCTGGAGTGTATATGTGGCATTAGGAAGAAATAATCAAACAATGAAGAGAAATGGCTCCAGACCTTGCTTGCACGCAAACCCTCACATATGACTGACGAGAAAATCACAGAATGCAACAAAACAGAGTGTGAAGCAGGCAGGACACAGAAAGCAAATGAAT